GAGGAGGAGGAGGAGGAGGAGGAGGAGAAGATGATGGAGCTGTGGGGCGGAGGAGGACAGACGGAGGCAAGAGAAGGATGGAGGAGGAGGAGGAGGAGGAGGAGGAGGAGGAACCTCATCCTCACCCTCGCCAACAAGCGCACGCACCTTCTTCTATATACAGAAACTCCCAATCAACAAGCGGCCGCTAGTAATGATGATGATGATGATGCCGGATGATGTGATGATGAGATGATGATGATGATGATGATGATGCTGATGCTGATGATCACGGATCAGCAGGGGAAAGAGTCAATCAGAGATGAAGCTCCGCGCGAGCGCGGCGCGAGGCACAGACGGCGCTGTGACGCACAGCTGCCGGCCGACCGCCCCTACTGTAGTGGTCGTTCATCGTGTGGAAAAGCTTGTGTGCAGTGGCAGTACGCAGAAGCCCAAGCCGCGAAGTCAAGCCGAGTCGCTCCCGGACTGACGAAGGATACAATCCCGGCCAGTTGTCGAACAGGTTCCAGAAAACGTCACACTCGAAGTAATGATGTTGGTCCGCGTCGGGGGACCCGCACAGGTAGCAAGGGTGACGTAAAGGCTCGTGCATACGTCGTGTGGTAAACCATCCATGACACCAGGTCCTCAGGATCAAGGTACGTTGTGGTCTGGGTACAGACAAGAGGCTCTGGACACCAGCAGCAGCATCAGCGATCGACAATGTGTCATCTTTCGTAAAGCTATGCCAGCGCTGCAGGATAAGGCTCGGCACTCACGGCAAACAGCTGCAAGGTGGCCTATCCCCTGGCGCTGCCACGAGGGATGAAAATCCGCAGCGCGCTCGAGATTGAGGGCCAAGAGTGGCGCCTTCCACCAGTCGTGCGTGAGGGGGCCGACGACGCGCACGACGCTCAACCGGTTCTCCGCCAGGGCCCTTGTGGCGGCAAGAACCCCGCGCCAAACGGAGCAGGTGGTCAGGGCGAAACGCGTCATCATGGAAAGCCCGTAACACTCGATCGGCGTGCACCTCGGAAAACCAAGTTGATCGATATGGAAACCAGCCCAAGCAGGCCCAGCTGCGCGTGGGAATCGAAAAAGCTTGGCAATGATGGTGTCTATACGGTTCACAAGCACATTCGGCGGCTCCACAAACTGCATCTTGTAATCCAAAACTGTTTGAACGCGGAGGTTGTACTCGAGAATGTTCTGGGTCATGGATTCGTGCGACGAGCCAGTCTGCGATAATCGGTGCAGGAATTTGTTTGCCGGTTTCGTCCATTGCTGAGCCCCCGCTCCTTGCCCCAACATCAGGCCCAAGTACTCGAAGCATGGGTCAATGCGTATCTTGGCCCATTTAGCTACGTAGAGATTCATGCAATCCCTGAGTAAGTCAACCAGAGACGCTTTAAAGCGAGCTCCGGCGGGGGACATTACACATTTCTTCAGCTTTTCACGGAGGCCGGTGGCTCGATCAACCAAGGTGTAGAGGTCGTGGATGGGGGCAATTGTACGGATATCCCATAAAGAAATTCCAACGTCATCAGCGCACATTCAGAAGATACCCATGTCGGAAACAGCAGCGCGGAGGCCGAAGACCAGGGGGTCGGTGCAGAGGACAAAGAAGATTGAGCTCAGCGGGCCCCCCTGCAGCACACCCGTATGAATGATGAAGCTCGGGGCCCAGACGCCATCAACTAAAATGACCGTGGCCGCGAAGTCGTACATAGAATGGAAAAAACCGATGACAAACTCGGGCCAGCCCTGGAAACGAAGTATTTTCAAGAGCCAGCTGTGGGCAATCGAAACGAAAGCCGTGCCATAGTCCATCGCCAGACCAACTGGGAGAAAACTACCGGGCGGCCGGAATGACGCCTGCACCATGTGGGCGTCGAGCTCAACGATGTTATCCGCGAAGTGCCGGTGCTTCACGAAGCCGCGCTGCTCGAGCGGCGCCTGCTCGGAGAGGTAAGGGTTCAGCATAAGGGCAAGGCCTCCAGCTATTGTTTTTGCGTCCGCATTCCGGCCACTGAAAGGGCGAATGTTGTCAGGAGATCGTACGACTTCAACCGCGTCATGCTCGTATTGTCCTTTTGGGGGCGTGGAGAGAGTGGAGTAGGCCATGGCACGGTACGGCAAGATGCCGCGATAGCACAATCCAGCTACCTCGGCAATAGCTTCGATGACGGTGGAGTTCTGGAGAGCAGGGCATGGAATCCCATCGGGACCAGGAGAAGATCGACTGCGGCACTTGAGGTAGGAGGAAAACACTGCTGTGTCAGGCGGGCGTAGCCCACTCACATCCCAACGGCGCCCGAACCGTTCAAGGAATTCATCCTGGGCGTCAGGGGAGACCTCCGTGGCCAAAAACTGTTTCGCCCAACACTCGTGTATGATCTCCTGCTTTTTTCCGGGGTCGCGTTCAACGTGCTCAGCGACTTGCACGCCCGAGGCGTGGACGAACTTCGCAGAGGAAGCCCGCGAGTTACGGTAGCGCAAATTGCGTGTTTTTTGTTTTTTCCCGCGACGCGCGGAAGACACGGAGGTCGGACGCGTGGCGTTCATAGGACGGCCCAGCTCGTCCAGCTCTTCCGACTCCTCCTTCGCGAACTGCTTGTTCTTAGCCGCGGCCATGGTAACCTCGAACAGCATGGGGTCCCGGAGGCGGACGTTGCCTTGAAGCACTTCCATATATTGAAGAGCGTCAGGCCGGTGAAGAGCGAGCTTGTCATACAAGTGAATATTATTCCGCCATGCACATCGAGAGATCGTGGTAAGAAGCATCAGGGCCGTCCAAGTAGAGCCCCCTTTTTGGATCAGAGCGTTGCGGGCCTTAATAGAAGCCACCTTGAGAACGGACTTCGCCGCGATGAGCTTGTCTGCGCCGCGGAAGTGCTCGACATTGGCGTACTCCATCCACTCCTTAGCAATACGATGGAACTCAGGACTCCGAGCAACATCCCAAGGGATACGTAGTTGAAGGACGGGAATAGGATCAGGAGGACGAATCTCGATCTTGAAGGGGGCATGGTCTGATATGTCGAGGCGAGAACATTCCATCGGGCTTAGTGGGACCGAAGGCTCCACAAGGATGCTGAGAAGGCAAGTTGTCGGGACAACCAGGAAGGAGCGGTCAAGAGTAAAGAGCGAGTCCGAGGCCCTGTGGTAGTGGGTGAAGTCGGGGGAGCGGATCTCAATCAATTTGTCCATGTCTTACGAGAGGTAGTGGTCAGCTCGGGAAAGGTTCCGGGGTAAGCTGGGACGAGGAAGCTCCGGGCGTTCCAAATAGTGGCGGTCCAAACCAGGGGGGCCCATGTTCCAGTCACCGGACCAGAGAGCAGCTCGATGCTCGGGGCGTGCGCTCATCCAGTCCCAATCGGCGGCCATGCGATTGTGGATATCCTGGGACTGTGCATTCGTGAGGTCGTAGTTGTGCACGTTGACAAAGCGAAGTTCCAAATCTTGGTAACGAAAAGTTGTGGCAAGAACACGTCCAGGAACGATATTCGCATGCTGCACGGTAGCCGCGCCAACCCAAGACTAGGACCAAGCAGTGAGCACGCCTCCAGAGATCTCATTGGCCGTGGCGGAATACTCGAAAGAGAACTTGTCAGCCAGTGGCCGCATGAGGTCGACGACGTATTGATCATCACCGTGAACTTCTTGAAGGAGGAAGACATCCACGTCTTTGGGTTGGCTGGCCAAGGAAGACAATTTCTGTCGTACCCGTCGCAAGGAAGCATTCGCAAGGGTTTGTACGTTCCAAGAGACATGTTGAAAGCAAGCGTGCTGAGTACCAGGAGGGCGGCCCATAGCCAAAAAAGGCTAAATAGAACGCATCGTCCAGCCAGCCTGGGGACGAGACGCGCTGCCGCTCCCGGAGGAAGCAGCCATAGACCGGCAGGCAGCAATAGCAGAGTCCAGGCTGCCTCGGGGAATGCCCGTCCGCTCCAGCTCCAAGTCATTGACCCAGATCGTGGCTTTGTCGTTGGTGTCGTCCCATCGCCCCTGAGCGATACATACCGTGTTGAAGAAGATAGAGGATGATTTTTTGACGTAGAGAAGTTGGTCAGCATGTTGGGGAAGACGTACTTGAAGATCTTTGTGAAGCCGTTTGGAGAGCAGTCGAGGTGCACGGACCGCAAGAGGAACATCCGGAGATAAGTAGGCTTTGACTGGGCCGCCTGGATTTTTGATAGTAGTGACCTTCCACTTGCCATTGCCGTCGCGGCACTGGTTGAGAATCGCCTGGACGGCCGCGGCGGCAGCAACAGGTGTGCCAGCCACGCGGATGGTGAAATTCTTCTCCACGGCGCCGCCCATGAGGGAGATCAGGTGCTCAGCGACTTTGGCGGCTTTGGCCAGCTCGGTGACGAGGGCGAGGGCCGCTGCGTGTGAAACGAAGTCCTCGGTGTTGAGCCTGATGATGGTGGGGTCGCATTCCGTCGCAGGAGTGTGTTTGAGGGCTGATTGGATCTCTGCCCGTGTGGTGGCCGTAGGCTGCTCTGCGAGGCCCATGCGCTGGGAAAGGTCGGCGACCTGCTGCTGGAGCTCTGCCTGCTGCTGCTCGAGCCGGGATACAGTGGCGACCTGAGCCGCCTGCGACGCGAATTGCGCCTGGTAGACCTCGTCCTGTTTGGAAATAGCTCGGGCCATGCTGAGCTCCACCTTCGAGAACTGCTCGGTGACGGCAGCCGTGGCGGCCGCAGTGGCGACGTCACGGATGGCATCCATGGCGGTCTGCTGGATGTCCTTGGAGAGGGCGTCGCGGACCAAGGAGAGGAACCGTTCATCAACCTGGGGCTCGAGCTCCTCGTCGCCGGCAGGAGTGGCGAAGCCCGACTTGTCAGCACTGTCCTGGATGCGTGGACGCTTGTCAGCATGGGCAGCACGCTCTTTGCAATCACCCATGGCGAAATCTCCTGGCTCAGACCCAGCAGTACACGTGCGAGAAAGACGAGAAAGCCGCTGCAGCAGCAAAGCATGCACCGCGCGCGCGGCAACAGAGAAGATATTGCGTTTCCAGTGGTGTCCGCCTGCGCTTGACACGCAGGAGAGCCTACTGTGGTAAGCTGCCCGCTCAAACCTGGCTGCTTGAGCCAAAATGGCAATGTTGCTGATGGATGATGATGATGCTGCTGGTGGTGATGATGACGACGACGACGATGACGATGATGATCAGGGAGGCGGAGGAGGAGAGGAGTGACGCGGGGCGCTTTCTCTCCGAAGCGAGGACCCAACACCACGGGATGGCTGGGAACCTCCGGCGCGCCGCGCGGATCTCCTCTTCGACGTGCCGCTGCCCCTGGCCGGCGCCGGCAGGGCCGGGCCGGCGGAGGCCCCGACGGCGGAGGGCGAGGCGGGAGCCGCGGCCTCCCCGCGGCGAGCGCGCGCGGGCGCACGCCGGGCGACGGGCGGCCTCGGCCAAACGGCTGCGGGTGACATCGAGGCAAGTGTTTGTTCTTTGTGCGGACGCTTACGAGCAGGCACTTTACGAGCACTGCAAAGCGCCCTTGGACAAGCGCGGTCCACTACTCGCAGGGTACCCACTCGCGAATGGCCTGGACCCGCCACGGGGGATTTACGATCCATTCCATCGAAGTGAACGTGTGTTTCTCGGACGTCTGCGAGTAGACACTTTGCGAGTAGTGGAACGCGCTCGGTGAGTTGTGGTCTCTTAGCTCCGCGTCGCTGGGGGAACAAACAATGACAGAAACCTAAAAACTCTGAGGTGCGCGCGGATTCCTCGGACCGGCGCTGGGGCCCCCTGGCGGCGCCTCCGGCGCCGCACGTCGCGCTGGCGCGCGCCAGGGAGGGGGGTCCAGCGACGATCCAATAGTTCTGTGCTGGCCTCCGCGTTTTGCTGTTTATGCCATGGTTTGTTCCCCGAGTCGCAGGGGTGGTCGATCTGAGAGGACAGAGCGCACCCCAGACGTGGCCCCGTGGGGAGATCCCCTCCCTCGTCCCACCTGCCTTGCGGTGCTCACACTGGCAGATGGCTGGGCCCTTCGCCAGGATAATTTGGTAACCTTCGCGTCGCGAGGGTGGCCGATCTGATAGGACAGGGAGGAGCGTGTCCTTCGGACTCGGTTAGAGGCGTTGCCCATGGGAGCCGAGGGAGAAGGAGGAGAAGGAGGAGGAGGAGGAAAGATGAGGACTTTGGAGAGATGAGGAAAGGAGGAGAGGAGAGGAGAAATGGAGAAACGACGCAGAGGAGAGGAGAGGAATGCAGGGCGAGTGTGAGGGCGGAGCGGGAGGAGAGGGTGAAGGGGGGGATGAGGGAGGAGGGGGAGGAGAGCCTGATGAGGACCTCCCTCTGAGGAGGAAGAGAAAGACCTGGAAGCCCGCTCGATGCACTGGACATCAGGTGCGTCGCGGCGATGGTCGCTTGGCCTCTTGCCGCCTCCTCCCTGCTCCAAAACTTCCCCTGCCGATGCCTCTCTCCTCGCGCCTCCTCCAGCCAGGACGCAGGGGAGCAGGGACGGAGGAGGATGGATGGCAAGGGAGAGGAGCAGCGACTCACGGGAGGAGGCTGAAATGCATGAGGTGGAGGCGTCGGACCAAAGCCGAGCTCAGCCCGTGGGGCGCACGCCCCGTGACATCCGGGCCAAGATTTCGGGACCGTCTTCTCCCTGCACTCCTCCTCGCCACCCTCCCGCTCTGGAGGCCTCGTGGCGGTCGCCGGAGGTGCACCCAGAGGGCCCCTGCCAGGGCGAGCCCCCGCAGGCCCCTGACTCACGGGCCGCTCACCTCCAGTGGCCCGGATCCTCGAGCGACCTTCGATCTGTTTGCACGCGGTCGCACGGATACGTCCCCATATTTTCTCATATTTTCTGGGTTTTTGTCTTCCACCCCAATTCCCATATTTTCCCATATTTTCCTGGGAATCGAGGATTAATTGTGTCTGTGTGTTTTTTTCCCTCCTGAGGATACGCTCCTGGCGGGGCGCCTGCGAGAGAGCGCCCCCCCGCATCCGCGGGGTCGCGGCGGAGCAGGGGCCCAGCTCGCGAGGCCAGGGGTACAGGTGTGTGCTTCTCGCCCGCGAAGAGATGCCCCCCCAAACCTGACCCTCGACTTCGACTTCCTCCTCCTCCTCCACCTCCTCCTCCTCCTCCTTCTCCTCCTCCCACGCCGAGCCAGGGCGCGCCCACCCACCCTCGGGTCCTGGAACTTCTTGTCGAGCGCAGCGCACTTCGCCTCCTCGTCCGCGACGCGCTTCTGGACCTGCCGCCGGCGCCCTTGCCAGGGTGCCCTGGCTCCCTTCGCCCCTCCTCCGTTGTCACGAGAGACGAACAGGTGAGCAGATCCACATAAGAAAGGGCGCGTTTCACGGGCGCCTTGGGTGCGTGGCACTCCTCCTATGTCGAAACCGCCCCTTCACACAGGCCTCCGCCCTTTGCGCCGGTCGTCGTCGTCTTCGTTCTCGCTCTCGTCGCTTGCTGGCACCGACAGGACAAGTTGGGCCGCCCTCCTTTTCAGGTGGGAGATAATCCCCCCGGTTTCCAGACATCCAGGATATCCACACCCCCCACTCAAGCGACAACAGTGCGTTCTAAGCGCGATCCCATGGATGCGCGATCTCATGGATCCGTTCCGCGCGCGGGGCGTGCGTGCAACGCCGCCCGGTCGGGACCGAGGAGTCCGGACCTCGAGGTCGTGGACAGTGATGTGCGTCCCGCCCGCCCGCCAGGGAGGACTGAGAGGAGCGAGGACAGAGGCTCTCAGACTCTCTGGCTTTCTGCTGGAACTGCGGAGACTCCTTTTTCATCTTCGTCCATTTCCTCTCCCCGGCTCCATCTCCTCTCCATTGCTCCCCCTCCTTCTCCCCCCCCGCTCCCGCTCCGCTCTCTACCCTCCCACCCCTGCAAGCATCTTATACCTCAGACCCCATTCTCGATCGAAAGGAGTTCATCGTCCGCGCCTCCCCCACCTTGGAGGCCAGGCCCCCTCCTCCTCCTCCTCCTCCTCCTCCTCCTCCTCCTCCTCCTCCTCCTCCTCCTCCTCCTCCTCCTCCTCCTCCTCTTCTCTTCGACTCCATCCCCCCTTTCGTTTATCCCTCATCCTCAATCGTGCTCGTTCTCAGGGCCTTCCAGATGAAAGCACGTCAATTGGTGCTCGGTGACCTGTAAGTGTGCCGGTCAGTGCTCTGCGACCTCCCCCGCCCCACTCCTACCCCCAACTTGCCCCACGACGGCGGTGGCGATGACCTCCTGGAGGCCTCCGCAGGTCCAGGAGAGGGACGACCATGCTCATGACTCCGATCCTCGACCCTCGATGCTCGATCGATCGACCACGGCGACGACGGCAGCGCCGCCGCCGAGGACATCCACGCCGACGACGACGGCCCGGACGACGACCCCGACCCCAGCTCTGATGGAGGAGGAGGAGGAGGAGGAGGAGGAGGAGGAGGAGGAGGGGGAGGGGAATGAGGAGGAGGAGGAGGAGACGGAGGAGGAGGAGGAGGAGGAGGAGGAGGAGGAGGAGGAGGCCGCCGCCGCCGCCGACGTCGCCGCGGTCGCGGCCGACGGCGCCGTCGCCAGCGTCGTCGGCCGCCGTCGGCTGCGGGGCGACGACGGCGCGGCCCCAGGGCCCGCGAGCAGGTCCCCGGGGGCGCAGGTCTGAAGGGGCCCACAGACACACAAATAAATACACACAAATAAAAAGATTCCCCATATTCTCCAATATTTTCTGGGTTTTTGTCTTCCCCCCCACTTCCCATATTTTCCTATATCTTCCTGGGGATCGATGATTAGTTGTGTCTGTGTGTTTCTTCCCCTCCTGAAGGTCTTCGTCCGGGGCAGGTTTCTGGTGGCCTGAGGCCTGGGGGCCAGGCGGCGGCCCCCGGAGGCCGAGCTCGAGGCGAAAAGCGCGGGGACCGAACAGCAGATCATACCGTGGCAGATCTGGCTGTCAAGCCACAGCTCGCACCAACGGCGGCCCTTCGAGGCGCCCCTTCGGGGAGGCGCGGCCGCTGGAAAAAACATCCCAGGGCGAGACAACTCCCAGGAACCAGCGGGAACCGCCGAAAACCTACGAGACCTCCAAAACCTCGGTCGGACAGAAGTCTGTCGGAGCAGGGTGAGATGAGACAGCAGTAGGTCAAAAGCAATCTCTAGACCTCTCCTGAGGTCCGAACGCATCGATTGTCCGAGCTGCTGCGTCCAGCCGTGGCGACGAAGGGTCCTCCTGAAGGCGAACTCGGGAATCTACAAACTCACTGATCCCAATCACTGTCGTTACATAGGTGGGGGCGGGGGCGGGAGGTTTGAGGACCACGGTAACGAGAACGCGTGGGCGGGGAGGGGCACGTCGAAGCGGGGGTGCGCTGCGATCGCAAATGTGTGCACACAAGCACCAGCATGTGAAGGGGGATCCAAGCCCCCCCCCCCAAACGATCATTACCATTACGCGAGGGGGACGGAGGGGGGCGGCCTGGGCACACACTAACTTTCGGAGGTCCGCGCGGATTTCTCAGATCTGCACTGAGCCCCCCACTGGCCCGCGGGGCGCGTCGGGGGCGGCGCTGGAGGCGCCGCCAGGGGGCGCAACTCCGATCCAAGAACCCCGCGCGGAATTCAGAAAAACTATGTCCGTGCCGCTGCTTCTCCTTCGAGTTACGCTCAAGTCGGGCCTGTCCTCCTACAGGTAGGTGTTGGGCGAAAAATGAAAAGTAGTCAAAACAATACACTAACATGGCCAACAAATAATCGAAAAATCGCTTCCAGGCTACAATGTGACTATTTTTGAATATTCCCCATGTGGAGGGACAGGTCCGACTTAAAGCTACGCACCAGACGATGCAACACAAGAAGCAACAAACATCTGCGGCGCTGGCGTACGCAAGCGCGTGGGTCAAGACAGGCGGGGCGCGCCGTGTGCGGGGCGCAGAGGCAATAGAATAGAAACAACTGCATAAGCATAAACTGTTGGTGCTCCACGCGGATTTCTTGGATCTGCGCTGGACCCCCCTCCCTGGGGCGCGCGGAGCGCGCCAGGGGCGGCGCCAGAGGCGCCGCCAGCGGGGCTCAGCGTAGATCCAAGAATTCCGCGCGGAGCTTCGACAGTTTATGTTTATGGCCTTCATTTTTTTCTTCGAGACAGGTGGAAAAGCAGAGAGCGACCGCGGAGAAGGGAGGAGGACAAAGCCAGACCGTCGAGAGTCGACGGGTGGGGGGCTCGCAGGCGGCCTGCGCCACAGAGAAGATAATCTCTGCGAGACCTCCCTCGGAGACCTGTTGAGCAGGGTCCTACCGCCCTGGCGTTCATATAGGCCTACCACGACATCTGCTTAGAACAGAATAATGTTTTAGGTCGGGTATGTCCTCTTCAGGCGGAGATTAGAAGAACAAGCAGTTTCCAACACATAATCTAACATAGACACAACAAAAACATGAAAATCATCACCTGACTATGTTTAGCTGTTCTTGAATATTCCTGCTGTAGGGGACATGTCCGACTCGATTCGAATACCAAAAGCAATCCTAAGAGCATAAAGCCGATGGAATCGAACGTGGCAGTCTCAGTCAGAAGTGCTCTGAGAACATTTCGCGCAAACCACCAAAAGGCTCTCAGAACATTATCTGGTGCGCCACACGGGCAAGCCGGGACGCTTCACCAGTGCTCGAATCTGGTGACGGCGTCGTGATCGTCGGCGGCAACACCCCGCGCCCGGCGCCCGGGACCCGCGGGCGTTGCCCCCGCCGGGCGGGCGGAGGGGGCCTGCTGGAGCTCGCCCTCGGCCTTCTCCTTCCTGGCCTGGGCCTCCTCGGCCCTCGCCCTGGGAGCGCGCCGCTCGGGGCAGCGACGGCGAGGCCGACGACGCCGACGACGAGACGACGCCGCCAGCCCCGCCGCCACCGACGAGCGCGGCGGCGGCGGGCCGCGGCGGCGGCGGCGGCGAGGACTCGCGCTTCCCCAGTCAGCCTGGTCCCGAATCGGTGGCCAGTGGTTTCACGTAGGGTCTCTCGTACGTAATCGCAGGTGCCATGCTAGAGGCCTCCTAGATGGGGTCGGAGTAGATGGGGTCGGAGGATCGCGCCGCATCGCCGATACATCGGCGATGCATCGCCGATACATCGGCGATGCACTGGCGATGCATCGTCGACGCGGGCGATGCATCAGCGACGTCGGCGCGAAGGAAATCGGGCTCCACATCGAGCCGCATCGCCGATGTATTAGCGATGCGGCACGATCCTCCGACCCCATCTACCCCGACCCCATCTGAGAGACCTAGATATGCAGCACAAAGCTCTCTCTACTCTCCCGTCATGCTGTCCAGGGTCTGCTGCGGCCCGGGTGGAACCTCTCGGCTGCTCTTGCTTCTTTGCGGAGGGGGGGGGCAACTGGGCGACCCCTGGCCCCCGGCCTCCTCGGCCCCGTGTCCCCCATCCGACCCCACGAGAGGCCCGCGCCCGCGCGTCTCTCGTGGGGCGGAGGAGAAGGATACAGATGAACGGTCAACTTGCGGCAATCGATTGAGGCAGGACAGGTGTGGGACGCAGAAACGTATCCTGGTACACCACGCCTCCCTTTGAAGCGAGCCTCCCGCGATTTTTTCAAGAATGCGGAAAGTCGGGGTTCTCGGAGGGCCGGCGGGCTTGGAGGACGCACTGGACGCCGCAGCCATCTCGAAGCGCTCCAGCACGCTCTGGAGCGACTGATCCCCGTCCCTGGACCCCCTCCCACGGGGCCTGCTGGCCAGGATGATCCAAGCGTGAAAAACTGGCCAGGAGGGGTGCGGGGCGCAGAAATTGGCCAATGTTTGACAAGTCGACCTGGTGCGGGGTGTGCTCGGAGGGCACTCCGGCTGGACGGTCGACGCGGACGAGGACGAGGTACTGTTGTTCTGTGACTTCTGTCTCCGAGCCTGCTGCGCGTCATCTGGGCCCGGAGGGAGCCTCTGGACACCTCCAAAGATCTCCTGCTCACCCCCTTCTCCTGATCGCGTCCTTCCGCTTTTCCTCCTCCTCCTCCTCCTCCTCCTCAACATCCTCCTCCTCCTCCTCCTCCTTCTCCCCCCTCCTCCTCTCTCATCCACCACCTCCTGCACCCCTTCCTCCTCCTCCTGACACTCCTCCTCCTCCCCCCTGCACCCCCCCCATCCCTTTCATCTTCGTCGTCTTCAAGGTCGGCGGCACCGGCCATAAGGCCTTCGCAATAATCCGATATTCAGTAAGTACCAACGAAAACCCGACCAACACGCCATGAACGCTGAGCGCAGACGCCGCGCTTTCCCTTGCAGCGTGACCCCCCGAGGCCTCGACCCCTTCTCTCGGACTGGCCTCTCATCCTGCTTGCTCCTCTGCGGCAGTCCCCGGACGAAGCACAGTCTGACCTGGGCCCAAAGAGCATCCATCCTTCAAGAGCATGAGGCCCTCCGCCGGCCAAAACACAACAAGACATCCAAACGCACCATCCCCAGGATGCACAAAAACATCCGACAACCACGGAGAACCCCAGGGCACCGTCCCCGACGCAGCCTCGATCCTCCACCTCGGTCCGGCTGTGCAGCCATCGTGATCTGTCAAGGAATGCTCTCGCCGTCGCTCGGACGTCCGCTCCCCGTGCATGTGTCGGTCTCGTGCGTGCGGTTTGCTTCGCACGATGTCCCAGGATGCTCCTCGATGGCCCTCGCCAGGAAACAATGCACACGTCCGAGCGCAGCCAAGCGCCCGCTCGGGGAGGAAGGGGCCTTGGCTGGCCACGGCGAGCCTCGGCGACAGAGCACGCCCCCCCGCCCTCGAAGCAGGCAGCTCCGAGGAGCGCCCCGGGCGTCAGAGCCCCGTGCTGCGCCCACGGCGGCCCTCGCGCAGCAGCCCGCACGTGCGGGGTGCGGGGCGCATGGAGTCACGCACTGTCGGACTCGCTGGACAGGGCACGCGCGAGGGCACAGGACCCTTCCGAAGGGCCACGCTGCCACGGGAGTGCAGGAGGAACGGGTCGCGAGACAAAGGACGCCAAGGGTGCCCTTGACTTGGCAGGGTCGACCTGCGAACCGGGGCCGACTCTGTGCCTTTCAGCGTCTTGACTGCAAGGGCCCCCCCGAACCGCTGAGAGAACAGCAAACCCTTTCCGCCGTGATCTCCGCTCACGGCGCCAAAAGGGGCCTGGGCGCTGGAACGAGAGCGCGGACGAGAACGGGCGCGGGATCCGCGAAAGAAGCCTTTTGGCTTAGCACCGCGAGGGCGCGGGGAAGTCGGGATCGAGATGGCGCGTCGCGACGTGTGAGGAGATGCAACTGCGTCGCATCGGCGGTGGCCTCGCTCGCGATGGGGAACGCCCTGGAACATCGTTCGGGTGCCGTCAGCGTGGTTCCGTGTGCCTGGAGCAGCTTCGAGCTAACATCAGGGGCAACGGCGCACGATTTTTCGCGTGCGGAGTCACCCCCAAACCCCGGGGACTGCCGCAAGCGCGTTGCGCGTTTGCGCGCGCGGGGGGGGGCGCGCGCCCTGTGCCTCAGCAGGCGCAGCGGGCTCGCTGAACGCGTGGGAAAATTAAGATTCCCAGCGTCCGCGGGGGCGCGGGCGCCCTGTCAAGGAGGGGGAACGTTCGAGTGGACTGGATCAGGGGGGGGACGTCGACCTGGAATCGGCGACGCAACGTCGATACATCGTCGACAGGCCACCGATGGCGAATCTGCATCCGCCCGCTCCTGGGCGGGGTGGGGCATCAGGTCACAGGCGATCAGTGGGCGATGCCGCCCCTGCTGAGCGGATCCCCCCCGCTGACGCTGCCCGCGAAATCAGGCAGCGACCTTGGCAGAAGTCTCCTTCGCGGCGACGTTCGACCAGGATGCCACCCGAGAGAAGAGGACGGCAACCAATCAGCGCCGGGTGAGGCCGCGGCCGCACGCCTCCAGCTAATACGCCAGCCCGCCGCGTCAGACGACACTGGCGGCTGGCGCGCCTGGGCGAAGGCCGAAGCACACGGGTGCCATGTCCCCCCATCGAGGGTGGTGGGTGGGAGAAAACGAGCAGCGACCGCGGTCGCGCCCGGCGCACCCTGGCGAACGGACGCGCCGCGCGTCGCCCCAGGGGTGGTCCAAAGCGGCGCTCTGGCAGGCAGAGTACCACACCCTGGCCAGCCGCTCCACCTCAGAGTGCGCACTAGGCAAGTGGGGCGCTGCAGACATGGCCGGGCACTTGATATCCCGCCCCCCAGCCAAGCGGCAGAAAGGAAACATCTCGATCGTGCGCGGAGGGACAGAGGGAGGAAGGACTCCGACGCGCGACCGCGCGGCGCGCCGCCCGACGGAGCGGCGGCCCGCGGCAGGTGGCCACGCAACCGCCCGCCATCGCGCGGGTCGCCGACGGCGGGGCACTCCCGCCTGGGGACTCGACTTATGACTTGCAATAACAAGTTCTCACCGCCCCATAAGTCTCCTTCGCGGCGACGCTCGACCGCGATGCCACCCGAGAAAGGAGGGCGGCACCCAATCAGGGCCGGGTGAGGCCGCGGCCACGCGCCTCCAGCTGATACGCCAGCCCGCCGCGTCGAACGACACTGGCGGCTGGCGCGCCAGGGCGAAGACCGAAGCGCATGGGCGCCATGCCCACTGCCACGGACCCAAAGGCTGATGAGGTCGAGCGTTGCCCCAGCGAGCCTGCGGCGCCCGCAGGCCCGCTGACTCCCAGTGCCAGGCAGAGAAGCGGCCTCAGACCCGCAGCCCGCGAAAGAGCGACCGACGGGCCAGTCGAGAGTGAACGAGCGTGCGATGGGCCAGGCGCAGCCGCATTAGCACCAACCGTGCGCGCATTGGTGTCGCTGGGCGCCAGGGAGTTCGCTGCGCGTATAATCGTCACTGGACGACGCGCCGAAGTGCGCTTCGGCGATGGCTGAGCGCTTCGTCTTTTCGACGTCTAAGTAACGCATCTAAGCTGGCATCTGCCAGTCACCCGCCCTCAGGATGTCGGCGGCGCGACCGCCGAACTCCACAATCTCTTGACCATGGCCCCGTCGGAACGAGCGGGTGCCATAGGCACCTGCTTGGCCTAAATTCCGCGCGGCGCAGCGCTGCGCGCGCTCGCGGCGCGCCGGCCAGCCCGCGGGGCGTCGCCTTCAGGACGAACATTAAACCAAGTGCCGAGGGCGTGCACGGGGCGCGCGACGCGTGAGCGCTTGCACCAGCACTTGCGCACAATCGCTGTCCGTCTTTCACGACGTTTACGTCTGGCGAGAAACAAGACGGGGCCTGTTCGTCCATGAATCGGCCAGCGCGCAACTGCGACGCGTCGTTGAGCGAAGCGGCGCGCTGGATGACCAGCGCCTCTGACGGGGGGCGAAAGAGAAACGCGTGCGCGGTCGCGAAAAAGAAGCCCAGACTGCCAGTTTCTAGTAACGCGCCTGGGCGTTCCAGGAACTGTTCTAGCAATCGCATGCGGACCGCCATGCGAGGCCGCGCCGACCAGCCCGAACGCTTCTCGATGGCCAGCTTGGCCCCCGTCAGCGACGCGCGCGCGAACGCGGCGTCTGCCACCCGCGCGACGCGGCAAGCTTTCTTCGCATGCGAGAGGATTGAAGAAAGTCGCGCGACACCTGAACGGCGTTGACCAGAGCAAGAGGACGTCGACCGACGGCGGGAGCTCGCTGCCTTTGCGCTGCAAAACGTCGCGCGCGAACTTCACCCAGCACCCAGCGCCGCTGCGCACTTGCGGCAGCGACCGTGGGCGCGACGCGAGCAGGGTGCTGTTCCGGGCAACCTGCGCCCGTGCCCGCCCCGCCTTCGGCGACCTAACGGCTTCGGCCGCTCTCGCGATCTCGCAGCGCGGGTCGCCAAAC